TTTCTGTTAGATCATTGAACAGAATGTTTTCACTGCCAATGTTTGAGTGTCTAGCCACTTTTTATGCTTTGATTTTGTAATGTAACAACTATTTTAAAGATGACAATACGTAAAGTATCAACTAGTGATTTTATGATTTTTTTGAATTCTCTTTTATACTAACTTTTTTCTCATTTTTTCTATTTTATTTTTAAAATTTTTCTTTTCTTCCTTCAAATAAAATTTAAAAAATACTGAGAGTATTTGATTAGTGTGAGGCTTAAGGAAAATTTTATCACCTTTATTATTGATTGCTAAGTTTTAAACTGTGAGAAAATAAATGATGTAAGCAAAAACAAGACAAAATTATAGGACATTTTTATATAAAAAGTAAAGCCAACTCTCCTGACCTCATGAATTTGGCTGTTTTTCTATATTGCCCAACACACCTAAGGCTCTGCCAATATTTAATTGTGTAAGAATTTTCTCATTACTAAATAAAAGGACATTTATTTATTGATACAGAAGCAGAGTTTTCACTGTGACAATGACAGAAATGTTTATTTTAGTAGCTATTGCTAAGAATTATCTTTCAACAAGAACATGTTTATGCATGTAGTTGGGTGTATGTATACACAGGTGTGGAATATTTCTTTTCATCACTGTGTAAAATTCAGTGAACAAAACTTATTTATATGATTTTTAGATTTAAAATGTATTTAACTCCAGAATGTACTAACAAAACTGTGTGAAGATGTTATCTCAGTATTCATTTTTCTCAATATGTTTACAGAATCTTGAGTGGCAGATCTTTGCATTCTCTTTTAGAAAATCCACCAATCAAAGGATGTTTTCAGGTACAGATTCTGAGTGACAGTTATTTATAGTTAGATAGTATAAATGTATCTGCAGTGTAATACAAACCACTGTATGGTTTTCAAAATGCTTACCTATCCTATTACACGTCAATGGAGGTTTTTATTTGAATACTGTATTTAAAAATAAGAGACAAGGAAATTCTCCATGAGATCTCACAAAATAAGAAACGAGCAATCGTAAGTATTCTCTGGTATGATTGCCCGTTACAGAAGTGGGAAAGTTGCTTCCAGGAGTTCTACATTAACAGAACTTTTCTGGGAATTAAGGCAACATTTGTTTCCCAGCTGTTGGAGTTCCACTGCAGTAGCGGCCAAATGGAATCAGCTGAAATGCAGCAAGAGGTCCAGTAGCTTCTGCTGCTGCCTTTTTTGCTGCAATAAAGTGGAAATCAATAGTAAAACAGAACTGTGTCTAAAGAAGGTTATAGTGTCAGCTTAAACTTGTATATAACCCATAAAAACTCTGTGGTCTGTTACTTTCTGGAAGCTGCCTTGCCAGATTTGAACTACTAGTGCCTTTCAGTTCAATCTGAAGACACAGCTCATTCAGTATCCTTTGGAGTTAGCATATGTGCTCCAGTTGATAATCCATGTAGCCGTCAGTCTCCACTTCTCAGGCAGGAACCATGGACTACTCTATTATTCTAATAGTCAAAGCTGCCTATTGTCCAGGACCCATGCAGTACTGGGTGTTAATTATTTTAAATATAATCCACATACATATGTTTTTATTTTATTATTTCTCTACATACTAACAGTGGTGTTAGAGATTTTCACATGATACCACATTATATTAGAAATGTTATCTAAATATTACCCAGGAGTTAATTTTCATCATCATTTTTGTATCTTCATCATGGGTTAATACATGCTGGGCTTCCTTTTTAATAGAGCAAGATAATAAGTAATGTGCTTTAGAACATAAATAATCAGGCATCTTCTGAATATGTTCATATTTTTACAGAAAAATACATTTTATTATTAAAACATCTGGATACTGTTTTTTCACTTTATGTATTTTTGAGATCTTTCAAAAACAGTGTTGTTGGAAAAATTTAGCATTTCAGATATACTACAATCAAACCGAAAGGTGAATGTTGTTTGAGTAAAAAGTACTACATGTTGAACACTCAAGGGAATGTAGTTAGGGTGTATTTGGAGATTTATAAGTATGTAAAGGCTATTGCAGTTGAAAGTGGCAATGAAGCTTGCTTCTTAAAAACATGAAGAAAAATATAACAGCATTGTTAGAACATTGCCAGGAACAACTATTTTAAATAGTGCAATCACCGTTAAACCTACTAACATATGGAAATAATTTTAAAATAATACTTTATTGTATTCCGATTAAAGTCACTCATTGGAACTTCCGCCATCTCTTCTCAAAGATTATTCTTAGACTAAATTGTCCTCCTGAAATCTCCTTAATTCATTTCTTATGGTCTTACAAATATGTTACTTTTTGTTAACCATTGGTTTAGCCAGTCTATTAATTTGTTTTTATTATTCAGTGAGCTGCTCCTACGTCAGATGAGAGCTAATGGGACAGAGAAGACAACTGGTTAGATTGCATTGATATTTTATGTTCTCAGCTTGTGTCAAGATCTTGAATGACTATCACTCAAGCACTGTTGTGAAGTTAATGGCCTTCTGCTGATTTCTGCTCCCTCCTGCCTGGAGTGTCATCATAGGTCACTAATTGCTGATTCTAGGGAGGCAAGATGGATGTGATGATGCACTGGCTCAGTGTCATATACTCTGAGTACCAAGTGAATGTTTTATTTTTGCCAGGATGTTATGCCGTCCAACACTGTACCACTGACTTTTCTTGATAGACTACAAGATAGCAGAAAAGGCCTTAAAACCCCAGATGACTAGTAAGAAAGCAGTAAAGCTGTGTCTTTTTTTCTCAGCATAAAGAACTTTGACTTAATTTTATATAAAAATACTTTGTAGTTTGTTTGCCAAGTCCAAATCTACAATCAGAGCAAAACTATGGTCAGAGAGTGGTAGAGGCTTTGGACAAGAGTTTAGAGATAACGAAGGTTAATACCAACAGTTCTGTGGCAGTTCTAAGGTAACTACAGAAGTCAGAGATGGGCAAAGGAAATTACAGAAAACTAAAGCAAGATAGCATGTCCATTTTGGATATTGCCTTTATATTTTTAGCTTACATTCTTGGTGGTAAAAAAAATGCAGGTGAATGTAAATAGTGCAGTATTTGGAATTTCATTGCTGGTAGACTTAGATGAATTCCACCCACTGAACTGTCTCTCAGATAGACATGGCTTTACCATGATCCAATAGGATCATCCACATCTGCAGTTAAGTCATTAAGTAATTAGGAAAACTCATTGTGCTTAGTATATAATGTTATGTGAAATTCATTTTTTGGGGTCTTTTTGAGACAGGATTTCATTAGGCAGATCATTCTGGCCTTAAACTCGCTTTTAACCCAGACTGGCTTTCAATTTACAGCAATTCTCCTGACTCAGCCTCCTGAGTGCTAGCATTACAGGAGTGTGCAATGACACCCTGCTTTGTGAAATTCAATTTTAAGAGATTTTTCTAATCTAAACTCTTGTCATCTGTGTATTTATGAATTTGAATACATTAAAAGTAAATTAAATTAAAAATAGATTTGATATAAAGTTTGAGAGAAAGGTGATTTTCTACTTAGAGATCACAAAAATAATCTTGTTTCAGTTGCAGTTCTGGCTAATTAAATGAACATTATATATGTATATATATGCCTTTTCAAGCAAGCAAATAGATATTGGAATGGATGGATAAAAAGTGTTATAATTTACACAAATTATGAAATGCAAGTATAAAGTAGAAATTGCATTTTACTCTTTTCTTTCAAATGTAGAAATTTTTATATATTTATTTAGTTTTATTTTTACAGATTTTGGACCCTTAATTGCTTCTAGTCTTTATTCCTAAAGAAATATAAAATCACCGATAGCCAAGATGAGATGAATTTGGGTTAAAATTTAATGAAATTCTAAATTGGAGAAGATTTAAAAAGCATAATGCTATTACTTTCAAGTTAAAAAAAGAATAACTTTAATAGCAAATTTTTGAGGGAGAATTGAAAAAGATATTGTTAATATTCATTTACTGTATAACCAATTTCTCTAAAGCTGGCAATTTGTTCTTAAGTCTGCTAAAAATTTGTTTCATCAGCTTTTGGTTAATAATTTTTAATTGTCTTTAAGATGCCAAATTTCAGGCTATCGTCATCTTTATGCAGATTAACAGAAAATCAATAATTAACCAATATTTAAAAGATGAGATTTTAGTGGCTCCTTCATTTCTTAATGTATACATTTCAACTATTCCAAGCTATTAGATATTTTGGGTCATATTTAAAATTTATTCCTTTTTTTTTTTTGTTTAAATACTTGATGCTCTAAAATCAAATTTGGGAATTTTCTTTGGAATTTGTGACTTATCTGATAAGTTTCTGAAAAATGAGAGATCAGGGATTGGGGTTCACACACAATGTGTCAACAAAAATGCTGAGAGAATTAGTAACAGGACTTCTTTTTAAAGACAGTCCATGCTGTCCTGCTTTGGATGTAACACTATATTAATTGTGCATTACAATAATTACTTTTCTTCTGGCCTCTACTAACTTCCAGTTTCAATGGATTTGCTCTAAAATATACATAATCAAAATAAATATCAATTGTATATTTACCGCTTTGCATCTTCTGAAGAACATCTTAAGTAAAATTCTTGTGTTTTCCTTTACTTGATCTTAATAATTAAATTCCATTTTGAGTTCTCTTTCATAGCTTTGAATTTATACCTTAGTTTGCTTTATTTACCTGTAATTCCTATATCTACTTTCACTTACTGTGATAATGAGGTCATAAAAATATAAGACAGAGGTATTTTTATTCCCTTAGCAATCATTTCCTTGAAGTATTATTTTTAAAATTCTGCCTATCAAATTTACAAAAGGTCAGTTTACTTTTACAAGGTAGAAGTCATGGGCTCTAAAACAAACTTTACAAAATGATTCAACCAGTATTCTCAGTAGTGTGTTTGTTTTAACTTGTTCTTTAATTTTAATTCTTACTGGATCATGGTGATAGTTCAGATAATCAATATATGCCATCTTTTCCCCCACAGGCCAAAAGGTGTGTTTTGCTGATGCAAAGCGTCCCTGCTACAAAATGGCCTACTTCCATGAACTGTCCAGCCGAGTGAGCTTTCAGGAGGCTCGCCAGGCTTGTGAGAGTGAGGAAGGGGTCCTCCTCAGTCTTGAGAACGAAGCAGAACAGAAGTTAATAGAGAGCATGTTGAAAAACTTGACAAAACCTGGAACAGGGATTTCTGATGGTGACTTCTGGATAGGGCTGTGGAGAAATGGAGATGGCCAAACCTCTGGTGCCTGCCCAGACCTCTACCAGTGGTCCGATGGGAGCAGTTCCCAGTACCGGTGAGCATGGATCTTGTGGAACAGAGGGTGAGGAAGGGTTCTGTGACCTGCAGGAGAGGTCAGATGGGGCGGGCAGAGGCACTCTCAGAAGGCAATAGTAAGGGTTCCCATTGCTCTCCACTTGCAGGAACTGGTACACTGATGAACCTTCCTGTGGAAGTGAAAAGTGTGTTGTGATGTATCATCAACCCACGGCCAATCCCGGTCTTGGGGGTCCCTACCTTTACCAATGGAACGACGACAGGTGCAACATGAAGCACAATTATATCTGCAAGTACGAACCGGGTAAGGAATATAATCAGCAGGGACAGAGTTTGTGGATTTGCTTCTCAGATACTTTTTGGTGAATTTAAGGAACCAAAACAACTTTCTCATAGCCTATCAGCTTAATGAATTATATGGTAATACTTGGCACATGGGCCTCTGTAAAAATCCAACTAATCATAGCTCATTACACCATAGTGAAAAACAGTATGGTCATGTGACTTGCTCTCTGATTCCCATTCTTGGAAATATGTCTCCCTAGATAGCTTTCTTTTGAAAACTCTAATTACTTACTATATGCAGCAAATGGGCAGATTGCATTGACTTGAGCATTTTAGTGTGGTTTTCTGCTGCAAAGAGTAAGTTTTAATTGCTTTAAATAGGGCACCTCAAATGAATTGATATTTGAGTAAAAGAAGGATTAATCAAGACTATGCAAACTCGTAATTTTTAAATCATCTGAGAAAGTGAAGCTAGACTTTGATTTTTTCCTGTTCTCTATCTCAGTGTTTGAAAGTGTCATTTTAACAGTTCTAAAGAGCTGTCTGCTTGCCCTGGTAATATGTGTTCACAGAAAGCAATTATAATCAAGAACTGCTGTTTCCATTATTCTTTTGAAATTACATGATTCCTTTTCTCATAACACCATAAAGTACAAGGGATTATTTGGATTAGATTTATCCTTCTCTTATGTTTATCCAGCTCTTCAGTATATTAGCCAACTTTTTATATCCCTGGTGAGTTTTTTCTTTAACCCCCTTGGTTGCTAAATCCATCATTATCCTCCTGGAAATCTTTGCAAAACTAAGTCTCCAATGCACTTGTGTTCTTGGTCTTTGTTTTTCTCTTGTAAAAATATGAAGTTGAGATTCTCTGATATTTTAAGTTTGCCTAAAACTATTAAAAAACCAAAAACATATTATAGGTCATGTATTTTTAATAGTATATATTAGTTATTCAGAATAGTGGGCTTAATTTTGGAAGATTTATAAATGTATATACCACACTTTAATCATTTCTGCCACTTTTTATTCCCCCTTGTTATTTTCTACTTCCCATTTTTGATTCCTTTTCTTTTATTATATTCTTAATGCAGTACTACTGTATCCTTGCTTCTGAGTGATCAGGTCATCATTTTTACACTTTATTTTTTATGTTCATCAAATTTACATCATTTTTAAGACATTGTCAACCTTTAATCTACTTCTTTATTTTGTGTTAGTAATATAGGCTTGTATATCTATGTAAAAGTATTTAAAACAAGATTGTCCTGTTCTTTATCTTTCATATTCTCCACAAACTTTCAAGTAATCAACATTTATTAAAACATTTATATAGCTATTTTATCTCATATGCAGTACAGTTATAGTTACTTTTGTTAACATACCTAGAATTTTCAATTTTTATTTTATTTTTAAAAAATTTTATCTTCATATTCTAGTTAGTTAGTTTTCCTTGAGTGTACTCCTACTTTGGAAAAGATGTTAGCTTGATAAAAATTCATTGGCTCTGTACTTAGCACTTGATTTTCAGTGGTGAAGGGGTTAAAAGAATAAGGAGTGTAACTAAAATGTATAAATTATAACACATTATTTTGTGTTATTCTTCACCTTACTAGAATATGATATAAACTTTTTTTTCTTCTCTCTGTTTCCACATACCATCTTATAGCTAACCAAAGGTAACAAATGGGAAAAAAGTTAATCTGGCTATGGAAGAAATGAAGTAATTCACTCTAAGTATTCTTTTCATCCTCTCACCCTTTTTTATATTTTATTAGTGAACTGCATGTCTATTGTTTTCACTAAAAATGCTGTACAAAGGCATTTTCATGAGGACATTTCTTTTTTATGGAAAAAGTAAATCAAAGTTTCATTAAAAAATAGAACAATAGTTAATACATTACATGTTATCTTTAAAGTAGTTACTCATGGTACAAGATACGGCCATAAAAATTTCTCCCTTCCTTTTTAATGAACACTAGTAGCAAAATGACTTGCATTTTTCCCTTCCCCTGCTGTCCTTTTCTCTTTCACCCACCCTAGTTTTTTTTTTTGAACAGTTTCTTCCCATTTCACAATATCTATTGTACATTTTATAACTTATTTATTCTTTCAGCTTCGCACACGAGGACATCTAAAAAATTGAAATACTTAGGAATTAATCTAACAAAAGAATCTACTGAAAATTATAGTACCCTGAAAAAGGAAATCAAAGAGGATTGAAAAGAAAAAGGAAAGAAATCCCTTGCTCATAGATAGGAAGAATCAACATAGAGAAAATGGCTATCCTTCCAATTTGTCATATATATTTAATGCAATCTCAATCAAAATACCATTAGGGTAGCTCATAGAACTAGAGAAAACATTCTTAAAATTCATCTGGAACCTGAGGAGACCTAGAATAGCAATGGAAATCCTGGGCAACAAAGGCAAGGCAAGAGGCATCATATTCCCTGATCTGAAATTATACTACAAAGCTAGTGTGATAAAATCAGCATGGTACTGGAAAAAATACCAAACCAAAACAAACAACAATAACAACAACAAAAAAAACCCCTAATGACCAGTAGAACAGTTTAGAAGATACAGACACAAACACACTCAGCCACCTTGTCTTTGACAAAGGATTCAAACATGTTAACCTGAAGAAAGGCAGCCTCTTCAATAAATGGTGCTGGAAAAACTTGCTCTCTACATGCTAAAGACTAAAACTAGACCCATATCTATCACCAGGCAATAAACTAAAGTTAAAATGGATCAAAAATCTAAATGTTAAAACAGAAATACTAAATCTACTGGAAGAGAAAATAGAAATCTTGAAGACATAGGTGTAGGTAGAGAATTCTTGGACACTTTCAAATCTAATTTTTGTATTAAAAATATCCTATGGGCTGGGGATATAGCTCAGCAGCATAGAGCATGTTTTGCAAAAGCATGGTCCTGAGTTCAATTACAGGGACAGAAAAGAAAATATCTTATGCAGTCTCATTTTAGATATTAGAAATTGCATATTATGGAACTCTTCTAAAATTTTACTTAATTAGCAGACATTTTAAAGTTTATTGAAATTGTTTTTAAAAATAAGCAGCTTTCTGTTTGCTTATGTCTGTATTTTTGTTTAGTAAATTCCAGTTTAGCAATAGCAGACAAAGAATTGCTGAGTTCTGCAGAGGAGGAATGAGAGACTAGGATTCAATCTTAAACCTGAAGGTGGATATTACAGTGTCAGAATTAAATATATGTATAAGCATAACAAATGTTACTACAGAATAATGTACGATTAAATTCCTAATGACCAGAAACAATATAAGAGCAGAAAACATTAGCTTTTAAATAATGTTTTTATATTATGAAGTCTATATAAGATACTGTATGTGATGTTTTTCTTTATCAATTGATTAAGGTAAATAAAGAATTACATTTTTGGAGCAAATGAAAAATTTACAGTTTTTTTCTTATTAATACAGTTTACTTTCACTAAGTTATTAAAATAAAAATAGTTCCTTATTAAAAAATATGTGAGACAGAGTAGTAACTGATCATGCTAAAAAATGTTATTAAAAATGTTCACCAATTGTAGATACCACATCATGTTAAACCAGAAAAGAAACAGTACACAAGACTGAATTTCTGATTATTACTTAAAGAAGTAGACATTATTAGGAAGCAAATCTCAAAGTGGCACTGTTCTGTAGGACAGAAATGTACTTTAGAACAGTGTTGCTTGAATGTTGAATCATCAGTTCCACATACAATCCACATATGGTCATCTTTCAGTTATTACGCAAAGAGAAACATAAACATTACAGTGAATATTGGCAAAGAACTTTCTTTTCTTTGAATTATAGTTAATGTCTCTCTTATGTTCACGAATTTCTGCTAATGTTTACTAACTTCCTTCCTGCCTTGTCATCCTTGTCTGTAGCAGGTTGTCACTGTTGTAAGACCTGTTTAGACTACTAAATGGAGCTCTGTGCTGGTTGCATAGGGAATTTATCAAGTGACTTTTTCATTCAAACATAATTAAATTGACTTTATAGTTAGATAATATTATGTAGATTTAAAATCATAATATGTTTTAATTGTAAGTTATTCAGAAATTGAAGTCAAGATGTTTTTGCTCTTTATAGTAAATTTTTATTTTTAATGTGTTTTAAACATATTGTTTAATTATTATTTATGATTACTGTACAAATTATTACAGAAATTAGTCCAACAGAACCTGTGGAGAAGCCTTATCTAACAAATCAACCAGGAAACACCCGTGGCGATGTGGCTGTTACTGATGGAGGTAAATAGTTTATGTGTCTTTATCAAATACAGAACTATTTTTTCCAACATGGCTTCACATTGATGGCAGTGAACTCTTCCTTGTTGTGTGGGGAAGTGGTGCTCAGTAGTGCTGAGCATGTTGGTGCATGTGTGTAGGGCTGAGTCAAAAGGATTGCTATAAATTCAAGACAAGGCTGGGCTGTACAGTGAGTTCAAGGCCAACCTGAACTACATAGCTAGAGCCTGAGTTAACCACCTCCACTCCCCCCAAAAATCAATGCAAATTAACTTTTGAGGTAGGTTAAAAAGATTCCATGTACTTTTTGAATAGGAGAATTGGTTTTGTTATCTCAGATTTTCACTTCCAGTGGAAACATCTGGTAGTAAACTAAGTGATCTACAATAAGATCTGGATCTACAAGGAGATTCCCCACGGTGTAGCTGTTGTGATGGAAACTGATAAATTCAGGAGCCTGCAAACAGTTATGTGCTGGTAAATGCCTAGGGATTGGCTAGTGTGGAGGTGGGGTGAAAAAATAAAATTCTAATTTGCAGTCTTTGTCTGCTTCCTTGATTTAAATACTTCCACTTGGCTAGTTTCAGGTTACCAAGCACTTTCTCCACACAGGGGAGATATACACTATACACAGTGAGCTTGTCCCAGCTGCCTCTAGCATGGCAACACCTATAAAGGAAGCAAACTACAGTTCCCAGTGCAAATTTCATGGTAGTCAAAGACTACTGTCAGTAAGGCCTTGTTAGCTTGACCCAGTGCCAATTGGACAGAAAGCTTTGTTGTTCTTGGATTTTTGTGTGTATATAGATTAAACTAAATGTCCAAAGTCTCAGGATCTTTGTAAATGATGCAAAATTCATAGAAAAAACTTTTTTTTTAAATACTAATTATGGAGCAGGGATAATGTGATATTTTTTCCCCTAACCCTTACCCTAACCTGAAAACAGTGATAATTTGAAAAGGAAATATTTTTCATGAATTCTTCAAATATTTGACCTCAGCTATTGGAAGCTTAAAAAAAGGTGAAAACATTGAAAATTATCACTAAATTATCCCATTTCTAGAATTCATTAATATGTCTTCTGTTAACAAAGGAAGTGACGTATCACTAAGAGCATGATCCATATCTGTTCCATTTTGATCAAAGTCATTTAGATTATTTCGAATGAAGATTTGTGTTTTGAAGTTAAATGTATAATTTTCAAATTTGCATCCCTTTAATGGATATAGTGAGACTTAGTGGGTTTCACTTCTCAAATGCCTGATTTTAAAACCATTCAGAATACTTAATTACAGATTAAAAATGAGTAGTTACATCAATAATATTTTCCATCTTCTGACAATGAAAACATGTTTAATAGAGTCATTTCATGTTGTATTTCATGGAACTTGGATATTTAAAGTTATTTTTTCTTAATTTTAATAAAACACCTAACATTATCAAGTATAATAGAAGCAGCTTAAAAATGATTCATTTTAGAATTTAATTAAGATTAAATCTTTGTGCCTCTGGAATTTTGTATCCCTGAGTTATAACTGCATCATAAGTTAATATTTACATTTATTTCATTTAATCCCAGACATTTGAATATCATCATAACACAAAACTTATTGGCTAGATAATTATCTAGTAATTCAACATTTATAATAACTTCAAAAACCATTGCTTATTTCCCTAAGTAACTGTTGAGAAAGATTAATGAATTGAGGTAGCTAAGATTGTTAATATATTAGAAAAAATAGCCTATGCCTGATCTGTGGGATTAATCATAGTTTTTAGAATTTAGATATTTATGCCCATCCTTTTGTTTTGAATGACTCCATTTTATTTTGTTTTGTTTTTTCCTCATTTGGTTTTATTCTTCAAAAAAAAAAAAAGATTGTAGATATTAAATTGAGTGTGAAAACTAGTACAGTACAATTTCTTTTTAATTTTCACCAAAATGAGGATATACTATTTCATTACTTTGGAATGAATATTTTTTTGCAATCTATTCATTGGTAATAATTTCATTTTATCTTAATTTAGGGGAAAATTCATATGTTGCTTTGATGTTAGAATTGTCTGTTTGTATACTAAGTCTGTTTTATTTTTGTAGGCATAATTCCTAATCTAATTTATGTTATAATACCGACAATACCATTGCTCTTACTGATATTGGTTGCTTTTGGAACTTGCTGTTTCCAGATGCTACATCGAAGGTAAACAATTTATTTGTATAGAGATCATTGATAAAGTTTACATAGGCTTTCATAATAATTGATAACAAATACTATTTTAAAGTTAATTACATTGTTATATTGTCTTTCAAAAGTTCTGATGTTCGTATATGCTAGCACAATTCCAGTTTTACGGATGCATTTTAATTACAGAAATCATGCAGTAGCTCCTTTAATGCTCTGAAGCCTTGTTAAATAAGTCCTTTCTGTTTCCATCCTCAGTTGGAAAATGGTAGCTTGATGGCTCTGCCTTGAGTCCTGTAGCTAATGCTTGTGGTGGATCTGAAATTCAAATGCTGGTGAACTTATAGCAGATGCATTAAAATACTGTTTCTTGCTTATTGAATAGGAAGAGAAATAGGAATCCTTTCAATCTGGACATCAAGCTTCCTAGAAGACAAATTTTATAGCTTCACTTTGTAGCATTTCTCAGAATTCAAGTCACCTTTTTATTTTAAGGAGATCTTTAAGAATAAAAAAAATAAAGTATATTGCTAAAATAAGGTCAGTATTTTTAGTTATTTTGAAAGATACATAATAGATAATTTGATGGATGGATAGATAGATAGATAGATAGATAGGAATATTTTAACTTTTCTACCTGCACATACATACATCTTGGTTAGAGAAGTGAAGATTTTCCATGTGTGTTAGTTTTTAAATTAAATTTAAAAATGAAACAGAGAGTTGTGTCAAAATAAAAAGTATTGAGTTTCAGACTTTGAGTTTCAATAAAAGCATGTTTACTAAACTGAAATAAAATGCATCATCAGAATAGGTTAAAAAAGAAGTGTCAGAATATTTTAAATAAAAACTGGTCAAAAATGCTTCTCTGCAAGTGAAGTATCATTTTTCTTTTTTGATTTCACCTTCTTTTTCTGAAATGGACAAAAAGAATCCAGAAAAATAAAAGAAGTTTCATTTCTAAATAATTCGAATAAATTCAAAGGGATTTGACCTGCAATTAATTACAATTTAAAACATTGTGAGTGATGACAAGGTGTGGTAAATTAATACTGTGCTTTGGCTTCCTAATATGCATGTTAAACACAATAAAAAATTTTGATACTTTGTACTAAAATAGTACAATAGCAAATATGTGGTTCTTTGTATAGTTCCTGACTATAGATGAAAAGATGATTTCTCATTGTGAAAAGCAGTGAAGTAGAAGGATTAGACATAAATCCCTTCTTTATCCAGCCAAATCGTTAAGGAAGACCAATAAAGTAACAAGTCAGCTTAAGATGCGCTTTGAAAATGTGATTTAGACACTCACATTTGTACCATAAGAAGGGCTAAAGTGCCATGTAACTACATTTTCTCTGAAGTTCTTTTTTATTTCCTTAAAGTAATATATTATTGTGACTGTTTTATTCATTCAGAGTCTCCTAGGTTTTCATAGCATGAAGATCTGTGGACTTTCTTATGTGAAATTCTCCAAGTGAGAACACAAACCAAAATGAAGCACTTCCAGCACCAGATGTAGCTGTGCACTTCCTTAACTTGTTCTTAGAGCCTCCCCTTTTCCTTTCTTCCAGGAAAGCAAGGAGACACTTCATCAAAGACTCAACTCCATTATCATCTGAGTGCCTTGCAGAAAGTTTAAATTCCACTCTGGTACACACGATGGTTTCTTTCATTCCATTTCATGTTCAAAATAACTCCTCCTGTTCCCTTAACTAGTAGTGATCTTGTAATGAAATACTAATTTTACACAAAAGACATTAATAATTTAACCAATTTTTTTTAACATTTTAAAACATTTTCTTGTGTGTGCTTTTAAACACTCTGCCTTATTTTCCATTCCAATTAGATGGCTTTGTAGAATGAAAGAAAAATCAATAAAATGTGATCTTTGAATATATTTTAGTAGTCATCGAAATGGTTAATTTGAAGCAAATTAAGTGGAATCCTTAAATGGCATTACCCAATGTGGTTAGAGTTTCCATCTTTGAAGGAGCTCGTTGGTGTCTGTTGGCTGAGATTGGGAGGAGAGAGGCCTGTGAGCTTGGGGCACAGGCTGGAGGCTTGGGGGTTCTCAGGGAGAAGGTACAGAACACAGTGAACAGTGAGAGGCAAAGAAGGGGGACTCTGAGAGAGAGCATCCTCAGGATACACATAGTGACAGCAAATCTGGTAAAGGATGATTTAGGTAAACTTGCAAACTGTTGCATGTGCAGACACCTGCAAAATGAGCATTTTATGGGAAAACAGAAGTTGAAGCCCAGCAGACTAGAAACAAATTCCAACTCTAACAAGAGTGAAGTTCCATGTCAGACTTGAAGGAGGAACTCAGATCCTCCTAAATTATCACAGCTAAAGTCTGTTCTTGAATTCCATCAGCTTCAGAGATGAAGGCACAGTTAAGCTTTTTAGAGACCAAGTGACTAAAATACAGGATGAGAAAACTGGTAAGAAGGGGCTAGGCCGCTTCTTACACTTAGAACCTTAACATTTGTTCTTATGATTTGCTACTAAAATCAGCATTTGTTTTAGTGGCAGAGTACTCAAAAAGCAAGATTTAAAATATCACTGAGCAACAGAAAAGAAAATAAGCTTATTGGAGATTAAATGGAAAGCTTTAGTATTGTGATGGACACTCTTTGAATGCATGTGTCTGAACTCTAGTGAGAAATCAAACAGTAAAAAGATAATTTTTGTTCTCATCATTCATAAGAAATGCTTGCCATCTTCACACATTGAATTAATCTAGAATTTTTTGTAGGAATGGAAAAATATGCTGGTGAGAGAAGAAGGATTCTTTTGTAAATAAGTGTTTGAGATATTTCCCTCTGGACCAAAACATATTCTGTTTTATACGAAGTGTCAGGCACTGATATTATTTCTTCTTATGTTTTTCAGTAAAGGAAGAACAAAAACGAGCCCAAACCAGTCCACACTGTGGATTTCAAAGAGCACCAGAAAGGAAAGTGGCATGGAAGTATAATAATCTATTGATTTGGCTCCAGAAAAGAAAATAGTCTTATCATTCCAGATCTGTGTAAGGAATGGCATCAGAATATTAGCTTGGAATGGCTTGAAATCTCAAAGATGAACTGCAAGATGAACTGTAAGCTCCCCCTTGAGGCAATTATTAAAACACTTTTTATATGTTTATTATTTCGTTTACAAAAATATGCTGTGCTAATCATGGAGTGAGACTTGCTTATTTTGCTAAAGGATACACTCAAACTTTGAGAAAATGAAATGGACCGTGAAAATAAAACTGCTGTCAGCACAAGAGGAGTATGTGTGCTGAGAACAGTTATTTTTATTTCTCTCACAGTTTATAAGTTGTAATTTAGTTAATGTAATACAAATTGTATTGAAATTTGCAGTCTTCAGAAACATTTTACCTTTGCATATGCATTTGATAAAAATGGATTCTTCTAATATTTATTTTTATGACATTCCATTTTTCAATACATGCTGTTTTGATTAAACAAATATATCACTTTTCAACTGAATTCACATACACACACAAATATATTACCGTAAGAAATTTTCTTTTCTACTAATGATTCATCTTCTTTCAGTTTCTCTACTTTTGGCTGGACAACGTTTAGAAAATCTCTTCAGAAATGAGAAGCTGTTTCATTAACTGTGGTGTAAATCTCCCGAAACGTTTTCCTTAGAGGCTAGAATTGTCTAATTTCGATTGTGCAAGACATGTGCCTTACAATTATTTTTAGTTTAAAATTCAACAGATTTTGTAATGAAGTAACTTTACTAATAGCTGTATAGTAGTACCACAGTAAATACTGAACAAAAATGTGGCGTAGACAATATTAATCATATGTCTTCACATGTTGCCTATATAACTACAAGTGGCTCTCTGAGAGTTCTAGAATCAACATGATCCCTCCTTTACCACCCAAACAATGGTAGTTGTTTGGGGTAGGAATTGACATTGGAAGCAGAGAGTTTCAGAGACTGTCTAAGGTTTTTGTCACTGAATTTAGCCTCTATGAATACAATAAAAGGTCTTATAATTGGGACCAGGTGAATGGCCACCACCAGTGTGGAGCTAAGCACAGACATTTTGGGATGGAAAAAATAAACACGCCCCAGGTTACATGAATTAATGTGACATGTGTTGGAGTCATCAGGGATTTAATATTCATTCATGAGGATTTGTTCATGGTAGTAAACAGTGGCTCCTTTCTGTCTTATTCTCCTAGTTTTTTCAATGCTTGTGACTTGTTCTTCTCAAGTTGTTACTATTTGGTCTTCAAATGTCCCTGTGCTCCTTTTAACCAAATAAAGAGTTCTTGTTTCTTGAGAATGATTACTGGTGGTGTTTAAATCTCTTATGTTAACAACGTTCAGGCATATTTCATCACTACACGAAGATAAAACAAATTACTGTTTGAATGAAGTCGTGGAGAGACAGTATTTTCCTTGTCAATCTGTTTCAGTTGGGGAGGAAAGTGTTTTCCTGGAGGCAAGTAACTCGAGTACTTTGACAAAACTAGAGACAAAGTAGAAAACAGTGGAGCAGCCCTTTTTCAGGCTGAATCAGAACTGAATCCTAAGAGAGAGAATGAGCAGTTGGATTCTCAGCTTACGTCTAGTTCCATCTACCCCTTTGGCTTCCCAATGTTCTGGGTACACGAGCTACTCTGATTTGCATCTCTCCTTGCAATCTACCACCATGTGAGTCCTGCTTCAGTAAGGACTTGATGAAGGGGAAACTAGACTTTCCTTTTTGTCTGTACCACCTGGGTTTATGACAACTACAAAGGAACAGCAGCAACACAATGGAGAAAGGATTTGATTTTGCCTTTTGTCTTCATTCAGATGTTGATAACACCTCTGGTATCCCTGACTAAACCCATAAGTGAGTAAAAGGATGGGAGAATAAACTCCTTCTTTATTGGAAGGTGATAGTGATACCTTCCTAAAGGTTACGTAAAATTTTACCTGAGCTTTATAAAATGAAAATGAATATAAAGTTTGTCTGCTTCGTTTGTATTTTCAGGAAACATTTTTAATATAAATGTAGATACTATATGGAAAATGTAGATACAATATGGAAGAATCTTCAAGTCTTAGACACACAACCAGTATACTCTACCCTTGTTGCTCCATTCTTCTGTTTAGAATGGGTTATTGGAAAGCAAGAAGAATGTGTTCAGGGATTTCTGAGTTTTGTTTGAAGAACAAATCCCACAAAACTGGGAATTTGTACCCTTCACTTTGCCACACTCTTTAGAGAACAATGCTTCCCTTTCTCGATCTGTTGCCCAATGAGCACCTTTAGGTACTGCAACTCATGATTCTCCACCATCCACTTTTCCTGCACTTGCAGGATCACCTGCACCAGCCCAACAGAGTCTTAAATGCATTGATAATTCCCATGGAGTTCAAGTCTCCTTTCTTCCTTAACACCAGTCTGTACTAATTGGTCCCTTCTTTAAACTTCTCTGAATCTCACTGTGTATTATATTTGCTCACAGAGGAAAGTGTGTTTTCCATTCAGGAGGTATGAGGACTTTCTCCCACAGAGCCTGTCTTACCATGCATTCTGTGTGGTAAGCTAAGTGCAAGTTTTTAGTTACTCTGGAAATGATTCAAGGAATTAAAGAAGTGAAGCAAATTCATTTATTACACATTTTTTGGCCTTCCAAAAGGCAATTCAGCTGTGTCTAAGTAAGTTTTTCACTTGTGAGAAATATTTGCTGTAATAAATAAAAACTGAGGAAAATGTTTCTAATAGTTGTATTTCTTTGCTTTATTTGATTATTTTCATATCTTAAAAATATGAGCTTGAAATAATTGGAAAGTGTGAATAATCCAGATAAAACGAGGAGCCAGGTAGAATGACAATATATGTTAACTTATTTTTTGGTTTGATGCTAAGGAGTTATACATAAGCTGTGTGTATTTACTCTAAAGCTTCATCTGAGAGCAGTATTCAATCGGTCATGTCCCAACGAGGTTTGTGATATGAACTCAAAAATATTTTTATGAGCCAGGAATATAACACCTTTATGCCCAATTTAAATGGATTTAGGAAAAATGCATTTAGATGACAAAAAAGCAAGAATAACACTGATATTCTAATAATACCAAAGTAAACGGAAGTCAGATGATGTATAGTACTTTATTCAAATAATGATATATTTTGGGAGACATGATTTATTGCAACTCCTAACATTTCTCAACTCATTAAAATCCACCATGAGTATTTAAAGTAATATCCTTTTAAATAGCTGAAAATGGTAAAGTGGTTAAAGACAAATGAAATGATATCTGTTAAAATACAGTCATTGCCAACAAAATTGAAATGCATTTTAAAATTACTTTGTACTGCAAAAATTAATTACAATTATTTATTTTGTTCATCCCTCTTGCCCTTGTTCTTCAGTGGCTTAGGTAAAAATAAAATCTTTTAATAATTGTTTTCATAGTAGATGTTTATTTCCAGATCCTTGGAATGCAATGTGAAAAGTGGACCATGTTCATTTTTGCTTTCAAAAACACTCTAATTTAGAAAACTCTGTATCCACTGTGTGAATCTTGAGACCAAAACATACACCCCTGGGCGATTAGGTCGTGCACACTGGTATCCGAACGATGTCACACCAACAAGGAACCATCTGTTGTTTTCTTGGCACATCAGTGGTCCTCCTGAGTCTCCCTAAAGAGTGAATTACAAAGAAAGTTGTGGATATGTGGTCAATTTATTTAAGTATGTAAGAGGGTTTCTTTTTAGCAAATTAATTAAGAATATTCAGAAACATGATTTAATTGCAAGCTATCTATATATTCATTATCACTCTAGATCACTAAAAAATAACTCTTTGCTTCTCAGTAAGGAGAAGCAAAATATGCCTAACATATAACTTATAATTTAAACTTATGTATTTTCATAATGCACTTTATTAGCAAGCACTTCCTCACCTTAATTATGACACTTTAGTGGGCACTAAGAAATTCTATAAAGCACTATGAAAAACATCACATCTAAAATGCACATTAATCATCTTACTAAAGAAGATATACTCTATTTATTATGATGGTCTTTATAGACAAATTATGCCTGAGTTTGATTTTAGAAAAATAAAAAAACTGACAAATGATGTTAATTGTAGCTTTTTATCTTCTTGGGTAGAATCATTTTTGGTATTGGATAAATACAATCAGATTTGAAACCCTTAATATTTCAACTGAAATGGGCAAAAATTTTATGTAATTTGTACTCATAAGAATATGTGCCTTCATCAGAGATTTCAACTGATGGAGAAATGTTTTAATTTTCATAAATATTAATTACAGGTGATCCAATTACAGTTAATCACATAAATTTTATTTGTACATAATAACTGTTACATGATAAAAATGAAGATAATGCTAACATATACTGCCAGTATTTAATTACATAAATTGACAAATATATCTCAAATATTAATTATATGAATATTTTGAAATTAACTTTTACAATATCTATGAAAGAATTTGAAGCCTAATATACTTTGTTTGAAACCACTGATGTAAAAACATATTTCAACCTTAGACATATATTAGAAAATACACTCAGAGACTTTTTGTCTGATTATCATCTTGGGGCTTATTTATATTAAAAGGATAAAAATGTGACTCATCAAAGCACTTTAATTTTCTTTTGGGTGCAGGGGAACCTAAGCTGCAAACACATATTACCTGTATTCTAGATGTAACAAATAACTACACCTTGTTTCAAGACAGGAACTATAATGTTAAGTTTTGAATTTAAGGCCTAAGTCTGTATATGAGTTCAAAAATATTTATAGACTAGTATATATCCAAGACTTAAAATATATTAGAAATGGCTCATAAAATATTTAAAAGAAACTACAACTGCTTGAATACTTTTCCAAAGGAGTCACTTGATTCTCTTCACTTTTAATAAAAATTTTAGTAGATATGAGAGATCCAGAAATTAGCTTATATGGACAAGAATTTTAACTATACCCGGTCCGTTACAGTTGCTCATGCAGCCTGCAGACGTTATGTCTATCTGGTTGGGAGTCACTATGCACTTTCTGCCATTTCCCATCTTAACAACATCAGTTCAATTTAGTTATGTAAATTCTTGTCATAAATTTGTATTTTTTCAGGGATGATATTTCTTTCTTCCACTGTCTCAAGGATGTGTAAGTGCTACAAAAATTAAATGAATGTCCAGAAAATGAAGTGTTAACCTTAAAAATGTGTCTCCACATGGATGCTATATTTGTAAATGAAAAATCACCAGCTTCTATGAGAATGGTGTGTATATTGGTGACCATTTCTGTTTAGAACTGTGTATGAGAATCACCTGAAGGAGACAATGGTACAGACATTGTTGAGCCTAACTTCAATTTCCAATATAGCAGGTGTATCACGGGAGGAACTTGAAGATTTACACTTCTGGCATGCTCTGAGATGTTGCAGTTTGTTGGACTGGAGGCCATATTTGAAAGCCACTGGTAGAGCTCCTGGTTCTGTCAGGTAGAGGGCTTTGTATTGTCTCCTCCCTGGTGCTGCCTTTAAGTCCAGACAACTGGTTCAAATACGAAAGCTTTTGTGAAGCCAGACGATATTAAAATATTGTGAATGCTTAATAAGACAGCATTTTGAGTTGAAAAATGCCTTAAAGAACTTATTGAAGCTGGACATGAAGATATTTTTGAAATCCCACCACTCGGAGAGGCTGAGGCAGGAGGACCACTAAATTGAGCTCAGCCTGGATAACCCAGGACTTTAATGAAACTCAAACAAATAGTTTATTTTTTTTTTTGAAAAAGAGGTGATAATGAAGGCGCTGAGCTCCACATCTAGTACCAAAACAAACAAAACCAAATTCCCACTTTTAAACAATGTATTCTTACTTAATTAGTTAATTCCCTTATAAATGTAGTACTAAAGTTGAACTGAAAGAATCTTGACAATTTAGAGTATAATGCTCAATTATGGTAACAGTCAATTACACAAAGTGATTACACAAAGTATTTCCTTGTGTGAAAGATTTCTCACTTGCTAATGAGTAACATATCTAGACTGCAGAAATCAGAGCCAACTATAAGATTTCAGATATCTGGCATGAGTTAGTGGATTAATGTGACCCTAACATCAATAGTAGTGGCCATCATAATTTTTGCTTAGTGCGCAAAGTGTCTGCCACATAAAGTCCATTAACTATAATTAAAGTTGTATAGCTTATTTCCTTTCTGCACAATAGTTTCATAAATCTCCTAAATGATAATGTATCTTACTTTAAGCATACTTTGATTTTAAGAGGGAAATACAGATCCGGAGGTAAATTTTAAATAAGAAGAAAGCTATCTAGTTTGTCTTTAATATGCAAAAGTTCATCAAAGAAGAATAAAGGTAAAGTTGACCTGGAAAGTGTAACATTATTTTAAACCTTACTTTAGCTGGAGGATAAATATTTAGGATTTGTCTGTCCAAAAATGCTTGTAAAGTTATGACACATATTAGTATATAAAACAAGTTGTTCCACTTTAACACAGCAAAAGCGTATCCTCCATGATATAAATTGCTACTCCAACACATATAAATTTATTGATATGTCATGCCTTTAAGTTTAAACTAATCTAGTAGATGATGCATTAATTTTCATTAATTTTTAAATAGAGAAAACAGGCCTGAAAATTTATTTACTGTCTGTTAATATTTTTGAGTCTTTACATGGTGCCCGACTTGTATAATTCCACCAATAAATTTTAAAATCAGGCAAGCAGGAGTGGCCTGGGTATGGAGCTCATGTTTTTAATGACTATCCCATTTTTTTTTTTTTTTTTTTTGTACTGGGGATTGAATTCACAGCCATCTACTTGCAAAGCAGTCGCTTACGCCACTGAGCTAAATTCCCAGCCCAAAGACTATCCTACTTTGCACCTAAACTTTGTGATCTTAAGCTTAGCAGAACTTATTTTTTGAATGAATGTGAATTTCATGGAGCTTATAGATGGTTCATTATTTCTAGTTGGGGAAAATCAGAGATCATTATTTCTCGTTGGTAATGTATATGCAAGAGTTTTACTGTGATGGCTGCACAGATCAAAACTATTGACACCTCCAATTTATCACAATACTGGCATTCCTACATCAGCAAGTTAGCGGTTACACTTCTACAATAAAATGTAAAAGATGGTAACAATTTTCTATTAAAGAGTCCTAGATCCCCCGCAACAATGCCATGCTATTAAGTCCTTTATTTATTTCCCATTTAATTAGCTGTAAACTGACTGCAACTTGGCTTTCAGGTTGCTTTTTTGTCTACAAATGACTTCAGGTCACTGTGTACGAGGCTCATACTCTAGATTCAAAGTTGGAAACTAGTGGCTCACAGAGTAAATTGGCTCTCAGACTTATTTTGCTTGATTTCTTTTCTGTCTAAGGCATGAAATGATTGGAAATTTGAAAATAAATGTGTTTAATTAAGATACAGATTCTCTGGCTCAATCCGGGCCCACTAACCTGCAGGTTATGTTTCTGCCTTACACATTCAAATATTATGTCTCATCTCTAAAGACATTTGGTTTGTAGTGCTCATTTCTAAGAAATAGTTTTGTTTCTAATGCTCAGGCCCTCTGAGGACTAGTATGCAAATAGACAGAAAAGGACATAGCTTTATAAGAGGAGTGAAGGTAAGGAACCTGAGTGATTTCTTTACACCAAAATTTTTGTTAAATAATGAAGTGAATATATCGTAGTGCTTTCTGAATGTGTAAGATGGACATTGGACATATTTACCTGACAAGAATCTGTCCCTCCTTCTTCATAGCCTGCACATATCATATTTTGGCTAATGTTATACTCTGGCATCTGTTGCTGGCATTTCTGATTTGATTGAAGAGGAACATTAGCTTCTTGCAGGATGTCTGAAGTAGGACCTGTTCAAAATGGATAATGCCGCCAGCTAGTCAGAAGTGATCCACTTGCAGTTTTGAATGAAACACCATCAGGCTTATTTATTCCAACATTTCACTCTCATTATCGAGTACATTGTGTCTATATAATGGAACTAACTACAAACCTTGCATGCTAAATGATATAATAAAATCCATCTGTGGATTTTACCAAGTGGGTAACAGCAATGCACTTCTTTCTTTCCCAAGGGCTAGTAGAGATGGTAGATTGAAGGAAGGTGATGTTTAGCTATTTTCAGTAGTTTTAAAGCTACAATATGGCTCATGGAAATAAAGCTTGCCAACACAAAGAGTTCCATTCATAGAAATTAGCACCAACTCAGAAATTCAGAAGTGCTTTTCATTTGGCACCTGAAGAGGTGCTCCTTCCAGCATAATAGCATTTAGCTTCTTTGTGGAGCTGTGTGAGTGAGCAGGTGCTCAGGGAGCAGGGGACAAAGCTCTGACGAACTGTGCCCCGGTCTAGCGGCAATCAGCTTGTCATCCACATGCAGGTGAAGAGAGAGAAGAAGTTTTAAGAGTATATTTTCATTCTTTTTTATAAAGTACTCATTCTCTAGAAGTGTGAATCTCTGTTTATTGAAAAACTTAGCCCAGGGGAGATGAGAAACAAGCAGGTGTTAGTATCCCTGAAAAGATAAATGAAAACCACCTCCTAATAATTAGCGATTCTATTTGGTTCCTCAAGCTAAGCAAAAAGTGGGGGCTAAATTATCATACTTGACAGCCAGTGTTTAAAAAATGCATGTGACCTCATTTTCAGTTCAGTTAAGTTCATGCACTTAAAAGACTAAGGAAACAAGAGTGGTGTGTGTGTTGTGTGTGTATGTGTACGCGTGGGTGCGTTTGAGAGAGATTGAGACAGAGAGAGATTGAGGTGCAATGCAGCATATACATGACTTGGTAAATGTGTAACTGTGGGCTCTCTGGAAAAATATCCACTGTATCTTCCTTTCTGGTGTGGAGTAAACATTTCCTTTATGACTGATTTGAAGGTATTAGCATGGCAGAGAAGATGGAGTTGTGTGGAGCCATACCAATGGGTATTGCCAGTTGAAGCCCAAAAAGCCAACGGCACACCACTGATTGATTGACTTTTAAACTTTGACAGTACACTTTAAGGAAATAAATTGCAGAAATTGAGATGGATGAGAAAATTCAGCACCATTGTTTGGTCATCCAAACAATGAAGATCCAGGATGACATGAAAAGCTTTAGTTTTATAATGAAAACCAAAGCCATTTTTGCTCTTGTCAAAAATGAAACAAATGTGTCTGAGTATATAAAAAACTTATTGGTAAAAGAAAATTTGAATAGTGTGCATATAATCTTTATTTGTCAACATGATTTATGACTAGAATAACAAGGAGCACACACACAGATATGCATAACATTTTTAGTAAAGTTACTTTTGATATCACTCCATTTTTTCCTAGTGAACATGTTCCTAATTAGCTAGTTAATTAGTGCAATACATTGTAAAGTTTAGAAAGTGAGATCTTATGAAATTAGATGCTGAATTTAGATGAAAATTTGAAGGCCAAATTTATTAAAATTATTAAAATTACAATCGCCTAAGAAGTAAAGATAAGCCAACTGTCAGGCATGGTGGTGCATGTCTGTAGCCCGACAACTCAAGAGGCTGAGGCAGAAGGATCAACATGACTTTGAGGCCAGCCTGGGCTAATAAGTAAGTTCAAGGCCAGCCTGTACCACATAGTACACTCAACCCCAACCCCTCCACTTGACCCCCCAAAAAGGATGAGTAGTCATTTATTGCTAAATGAAATTGATCTTTTTTTCTGGCTCCATATAACTTTTAGATACTTTCTTGGTTTTTTTTTTTTTTTTTTTGTCTTTTTCCTTTTTATCAGTACCGGGGATGGAACTCACGACTGCCTGCTTGCAAGGCAGGCACTTATGCTGCTGAGCTAAATCTCCAGCCCCTTAGATACTTTCTTAAGCTAACTAAACAAATATTTTATTATCAGTAAATACATATAAACCAAATTTACTGAGCTTGAATATTTTTCCTATGAAATAAAGAATCTTAAATCTTGTTAGTGCATAGTTTGTTTTTAAAGAGTCTACATTACAGCCATAAAATATAGTTTAAAATCTGAAAGAAAAATAAATTATCTGCCTGACAATAATTTTTATTCCCTACATTTCAAGTGTTACAAGTTTTGACATTCTTCAAGCAGAAGATATACAAGAATGCATGGTCTTTAATACTCTTTATGAAGAGCAGACAACATAACTGAATTGCTGTGGAAAACTTTTGTCAGAATCCTCCAGAAAGCACTATACTTTGAACATTATGCTTTCTCTGATTAAAAATATTAAGGATATTTTAGATGTATTTTGATTCTGGGATGCTGTATCTCCATACAAGATTTTGTGCATTTTTATCTTACCCAGACTTTTAAACATCACATCTGTAATTTATTGTGACTATAGAGGTCATATCCTCTTACCAGAATAAGTGTCTTTCTTTTTTGTCTAATATTATGGAGTGGTCAGAACTCTGTAGGCGGAGTATTGTATTAGAAGTTCTGTAGTCAATGAGCCTTGCAATTACACTTATAGGACATGAAGTTCTAGAATGCTTTTTAGAATTCATGTTTAGATATACTTTTGTTCATCTCCAAGCCTGAAAAGTTATGTAGATAGACAGATACATAGATGATAGATAAATAGATCCATCTTTTGATAGACAGGTGGACAGATAAATGGGTAGATCTGTACAACTAAAAATTGTTTCACTTCATTTTTAGTTTAATTGACACAAACAAACATGAGAGTTTCTATGAGACTGAGGCAAGAGGACTGGACGTTCTAACCCAGCATGGGTAACTGAGTGACTTAGCAAGACCCTGTCTCAAAATTAAAAACCAAGTGAAGAACAAGGATATGGCTTAGTATGAAGGCTCTGATTTTAATCTTCAGTACCACACAAAAAAAGAAAAATGCACGCTTTCATGGGTACTGTTCTGTTTTATACATGTGTATAGTCTTACTTAAATCAGGTTAAGCATATCTATCTCCTCAAGTATTTATCCTTTTTTTTTCTAATAAGCACTTGCAGTGTCTTTTCTTCTAGCTTTTGGATGTTCACAGTATGTTACTGCTGTCAACAGTCAAACTGTTGTACAGTACCACGCCAGAACTTCTTGCTTCTGTTTAATTGTAGCTTAGTACCTGTCCACCGACTTTTAGATTCCATGTATGAGTGAGATTGTGGAGAACTTGTCTCTCTGTGTCTGGCTTATTCCACTTAACATGATCTACATTGCCACAAATAGCAAGTTTTTATTTTCTTCATAATAGCTGAATAGTGTGCCACTGTGTACATGAACCACATTTTCTTCATCCATTCAGCTGGTCAACACTTGGGGTCCCCCTCCCCAATATTTTTGGCTATTGTGAATAGTACTGCAATGAAAATGGGAGAACAGATGTCTCTTTGACAAACCAGTATCATTTCCTCTGAATATATACACAGCAATGGAATTTCTGAATCATATTCATCATGTTTATGTTTGGAAATCACACTATTAAATAGTACCAGGGATCAATGATCTATCAGTTTATAGCCTTCAATGTAAGATTCATGGCATATCGTTATCATTTTGCCAATAGACAGTTTCATCATGTTGAAGCTAGAAGGGAATTTGTTCTTACTGTAGGTAACTTAACTGTACAGCTTTACATTACAAATGAATATAAAGTGGTTGATTAGCAAAGTGGAACATATAATAATGTGGCTTTTACTGAGACTTTGTGCATATACTTTACCAAAATATATTCTTAGAACCTTGCATGATATTCATTTCACTAGATGTATCTTTTCTATTTATCAGTGTTTATAATGCAAAATTTAAATAGTGAACTGAGGGATAATCTGCATTTTTAAAAGGATTATATTTATATAATACGATCTAGAATAATACACCTGGGATTTTTTAAAGATATAAAATTATTAATGTGTCACACACTGTTCTTTGTAAATATTGCAAAATTCATTACAGTAGAAGAGTAGAAAAAATGTTGAAAAATATTCACAGGATAGTGCAACAGTACTTCTTTTTAGTAGCCTTTTTCTTTTTTCCAAATTTGATAATTTACCTCCATAATAAAGGGCTCCCCAGCCAGCAATAGAACAATTCCTTCCTGGAAGAAAAACTTGATTTTCTTCTGGTAAGCAAATAGGTTGTATATAATCTGAAAAACAAACAAAACAATGTAATCGAACAAAAAATAACAAACTGTTTCTAACAAATTTTAAAAACCAATCACATCACCATTTAATCTAAAGAAACTTGGATGAACAACTTATGTGAGTCTTCAGGGGGAAAAGATATTTTTTTGTTTTTGTTTGTTTTTTAAATCAGAGGAGAGCACGAAATCAGTCCCCCACTACCACAAATTATGCAATTTTCTGCATTTGGGGGAAATCTCAGTGGTCAGCACATCCGGAGTGCAATGGATAAGCCTTGCCCTGGGGACCTGGGAAAACCTCCTTCATGATCATGGTATTTCCCTTGCCAGTTAAGTATGGGGAAAGGTGTTTTAAAACAATCTTTCTTTGTCAATTTGACATTTTTGCATTCTCTACATAGTCTTTTTGGAATGTGAGCAATGTCGTATTTCTGAAGTTTATTTGTATGTTTAATTTTTAAATAATGGTGCTCTAATGAACTAGTGCCAGCTCTACTGCTTTTCAGGGTCAGTTAAGAGAAACTTGGACAAACATTATTATTATTTGTAATTTTCTCCAGTTATTTCCAAGTTTAAAAAGCTTTTAGGTTAAAAAAAAAAAGATTTGAGGTAATTACTTATAGGACAGTTATGGAAGCACTAATATTTATCACTGACTTCTAAAGCTTTCTGCATCAATTTACAAGTCATCTAGTGTGCAGTAAGCATTTACTACCTGTAGAACTCAGGGCAGACACAAAAGACAGAGCCTTTCAGAATAAAGTTTTCCTCCTCATTTGATTTCTTATATATTTTCAATGTACTTGGAGGAAGTCTTCTTTGACCATTGTAATAACATTAGTGGGCTCTCTTTTAAAGCCTTAATTATATGGATTGTCAAAGATATCTTAAGAATACATGCTCTTATCTCAATTTTTCAATCTTTGTCTTACCCTCTCTTCTGTAGTAGATGAACTCACTGTTCAATTACTTGAGAAAAAGAAGCCATGAGTAATATCATGATCTATTTTTCTGGGCTGCTCCTTTAAGAATTTTTTTGTCAGTTTACTATAAAATGTACTGTTATGGAGGACACTGAGTTTTATTCTAAAAGCCTTTTCTAGAAAGTTGTATTTAAACGTATTTTCCTTAATTCCTCAATTCCAGTTCAGTTATATTGTAATGAAATATATAATTTTTATAAACTAGTGCATTCATACTATTAATATTTCAAATCTTATAGTGCATTAATTTGAGTAGATAAGAATTCTGAAAGTGATTTCTTTTACCTGTGTAGTTCACTTTAAATTCAAGATGCATCATGACAATGTCACTGTCCTTTGTCCGTTTATTGTAGTGAGGGTTTATGACAATTTGATCAATCAGCCGAGTTTCTACATGAGGAGAAGTCAGATCTGAGGTCTCATGCATGCCTAGGAATGCGCTCCACTTAGATGGGTCTAAATTTCTTCTGAAGATTACAATAAAGAGGAACGAGAAACTCTCAGTTAAAAACAGTTAGGTGCCCAATGTGAAATTTTGAGAACTGTGAATTTTTATTCTACAGTGTTCTTGTATTTCTTTTAAAATTATTCTTTAAAAATGTTTATTATTTTTAATTGACACAAGAGTGGCAATATTGTGGGCACACAATGGTGTTTTGATACTTGCACACATTGTGGAAAGTTTGAATCAGGGTCAGTATACTTATTTCTGTAAGTATACAAATGTCTACTATTTCTTTGTAAAACATTTGAAAACATTGAAATCTGTTCTTCTAGCTTTTTGAAACATGTAGGAAGCGGTGCGACAGCCCCATTGCTGCCTCTCCGTCTCTCTCTCCTATGAGCACATAATGTGCCTGCCTACATTAACCATAATCCTCTCCTGCTTACGTCACATACCTGGATGTGACAATGACCCATCAGAAACCACCCTGTAGCCTCTTCCTGTCCCACCAGCCCACCCCTGGCCCATAAAGGATGCGACCACTTCCTGAATAAACGAGGCTTGATCGGATTCTCTCGACTTGCTTCAATCTCTCTTTGTCTCCCCCCTGTTTCTATTCATCCCCGTTCCCCCTCCAGGTACACCCCACAGATTGATCTGTGGGCCAGATCAGAAACATACACGACATTATTGTTATCTAGAGTCACTGTGCAACAGAGTACCAAAATATATATCTCCTTTATTAGTACCATTGACCAACCTTTCCCCTTCTTTCTCCCTCCTCCTCTTCTACCCTAGCTTCTGGTAACCACTATTTCATTCTTACTTTCTTTTAGATCAACTTGTATAGCTTTAACATATGGTTAATTTTTATATTTCTGATCAGATCATAGAAATCATAATTAGTGCAGCTCCCTCTATGTAACATTTCTTAAATCATGTCCTGATCTCTATTTCTAGACTGTGGTTCTCCACTCTGGCTGTATCATCCTGTAGCTTAGTGTTTTTAAATAATACTGGTACCTGCTCTATCCCTCCCAACTCTATTTAAAAAGTGGGACGAGCACAAGACACTTTGTATAAGATTTTAAATTAAAGTTCTGCTTATAACTTAATGTAGAACTAGGGTTAAGAACCCCTGTATTGGATCACATTCTACTGCGGGGATCACGACTCAGTCCAGTTCTGATTTAGACAATGGTAGCAGGTGAAGTAATAAGACAGGGCAGTGCAGAGCTTTCTGTCATCTATGGATCATTAGATTTACATTGAGTTAAAGTCATCAGTGTAATCTCTAATGGTATTTGTTTGAATAATTTCTATATATAGTATTTATCCTTAATAATATATGCTAAAGGATGATACTTTTGTTATAGGATAGCAAAATTAGGTAGTATAATTTGAAAATAGGCAAGGACTTCTAAATATACTATTGGCCTATAATATCTTCATGCCAAGATATTATAAATGAAAAGCCGGAATTAAGCCAATTAAGCCATACTCACAATGAAGTCAAAATTCAGTAATTGCAATTATGGACAGAAATACTGATCAAATTCTTAACAGTTGCAAATGCCTAGTTTAATGTAGGTTAAAATTCAAGTCATCTGCAAACATGTCTGTGGCAGTAAGTTATTTTATATCTGCTTATCTTTTAATCTATCTAGTCCTCACATTGTTTGATTTCCTAAATCATCATGTTCCATCAAAGCAGCTGTTAATTATCAAAGGTTATCAAGACTTAGGCTGAGGAGGATGACTCTGCTCTCCGTAGTTGCTGGCAATTCCTTAAGTGTTTCAGATGCTGGATAATAATGACTATGAATAATTAAGAGAGGCCCTGTCTGCTTGCAAACAGGCTGTCTTACTCTCCTATCTCTAAGTCATAAGATTCAGTGCTTCAGCCATGCATGGGACATATAATTTTCGGACACAGGGTATTCCCAACTTTTATGGTACCTTGGGACTCCACTGTCTACTTAGATCTACTTGGTATAGGGTGAAGTCCTACCTGATGTCTTATCACTAAACCTAATTCTTCACCTATCATTGATTAATTATATTTCCAAAACCTCAAATGGTCACAGGTTCATTTGATTTGCCTGACAAGTTAACAGGTCACTACATTAAGAATTGTGAATTCTCTATTTGATGTTTAATTCATATATTTACTATTACCAATAAATTAATCTTATAATTACTATATCTCATTTCCTAGTTCATTATACTTATATATTATATTTCATATTATACTTATGTAACTGTGTTACATTGATATTGTACATTTATATATGCAAATATGTACATCTATATAAATATTATGTTAATAATACTAAAATAACATTTACTTATAGTATATGGTGTAATTATACAGATTCCATTTTAACATTAAAAGATTTTACATTATTTTTTAAATAATATTTTTCTTAAGTGTTTTATATACATTTGTTTTTAAGAACTACTATACAGAAGTTTAGACAGATATATGCAGTTTATTCACCATATATTTAAATCAGTATTTAATTAGGAGAATTTAGAAAAAGAAGAGTTAATGTCCCAAATTATTTGTAAGTACTATTCTTCATCCAAGAACTGATAACAAATTGCTCATTTGAGAGAGCTTGTAGGTAATACTAATTTTAATCATTACCATTTTCTTTCATTATTTTAAAGTCTTGAGTATGTAATCAATACATGAACCATGAGCTGTGAAGATTAAATATACTTGCTTCAAGCTACTGCTCTAATTAAATTCAATTTACCAGAAGGTTAATCTAATACAGTTTTGATGGTTTCTAAAATTGTTACTGAACTACATGGAAAATAACCTCTTATTTCATGTTTTATTAATTCAACATCTGTAGGTAGCTCCAGTATATAAAACCACTCCAGTGTGTATCATTTACACTTGTGTCTCAAAGTCCTGCGCACAAACCTTCCTGTGTTTGTGAATGTCACTTCCCTGCCACAAGCCTCTCTCCAGTCAAGCACTATATACATTCTGTAGAAATTTCTGAGCATTTTCTTCACAGAAAATGATGGGAGAAAACAGAAGAACTAACTAGTCCTTAAATTTTCCAGGAACTTAGGACATTTTATAATATTTGAATTCTTACTTTTCCACCTCAGGAGATTATACTAAAAGGCAGAAGTGCATCTCAAAGTTGGTGCTCAATGCAAAGAATCTTTTAGCATCTTCATTTATCAACAGTGTATGACAGAAGAAAAAAGAAAACCTGCAGAGATGTACTTTCAGGAGAACAGAAAGGACTTATAATTTCACAATTTTCTTATCTGTATCTGAATTCTCATAAAGGAAGAGCTATAGGACATATGGTGGACAGGCATGGACAGGAATGACCAGTCCAGCAGAGGCTAATCATGGCAGAAACAGGGCATCTCTAAGATGGAACTTGGCTGAATTTTTGCCATAGTTCACCTCTCTCTGTCCCATACACACAAAGTATTTTTGCCAGTAGCAAAAGAAAGAGAAATAAGACTGTGAAGGACCCTTGATCTTCATACTCTCACAGATAAACACGTGTCCTATCACATAAATGCTGCACTAGATGGTATGAACCAATGCTGTCTCCAAAATATAATGCTGTGTGCTGAAGCATAAGTAACTTTACTACCTTGAGCATCAGTGTTTCAGAATGCAAGTTAATTAGGTAACTGTGATAGTGTGACACAAAATGCTAAAAGGAAAAAGAAATTGAATGGGAGTCCATTGCTGTAAATGAATTCTTTTTCTTTTGCCCTTACTTAATGAGGGGAACATAAATTCTATTTTTTAAGGCAAGCTAAAAAAAAAAAAAACAGGATGTTTCTGAAACAGCATTGGTATCAGACAGAAAGAATGCTTTAAAAAGCATCAAAAGCAATTCAGAAAGAACAAAGATATCAGAATATAAGAGAGAACATGGGTCATGCTTTGAGCATCATATAATAATGAACAAAGTCACCGGAGTGGTGGTGTATGTCTGTAACCCCAGCACTAAGGAGGCTGAGGCAAGAGGATCACCATGAGTTTGAGGCCAGCCTGGGCTTCATAGTGAGCTCAAGGCCAACCTGAACTACAAAAAAGCCAACAAAATAAGCAAAATAAAGCAAAACAAAAAAACCTTAGCCTGGATAGCAAAATAAGTTGTTTATGAAAAGTTCTAACATTTCTACAAGGACATGCAAATGAGAAATATTAAACCATAAAAGTGGAGAACTAATATATGGTGAATCTTTATACCTTTTCATGAATAAGGACTAGAGTTTTATAATGTGAGTTTTTAAAATCATACCTATGATATTTTGAACTATTCTTAAAATAGAAATATGCACTTGTATGAGTGTGTGGAAGAGAAGTATATACAGTAAGAATAAGCCAAATAACCCTCAGCATTGTTTGACTTTGTGGTTATTCACAGAAACTTTAGGAATCATTATTGACTACCTTCCAAGATTCTTCCACAATTCCATGGGCTTGTGATTTTCTCTTTAATTCACTCTTTGTTCTTTAATTCTTTCTGTGTGTGTCATCTCTCTGCCTTTTCTGTCTCTGTCTCCCTCTTTTCTTGTCAAACTTTAAAGATTATGATCCTCCAGGATTCCTTCAACCTTATTCTATTCTCTATTTTTATTATCTTCTTAGATGACTTTATCCAGTGATGTCATGCCTTAAAAAACAGCTATATGCTGAAAATTTCTGAATTTATATTTTAATTATTTCTCCCTTAAAATTTCAATTCACATGCAAATTGAATAATATTAATGATAGAGCCCAGGGGCTGGGGATTTAGCTCAGCCGCATAAGTACCTGCCTTGCAAGCAGGCGGTCGTGAGTTTGATCCCCCGTACCGATAAAAATGAAAAAGACAAAAAAAAAAAATGATAGAGCCCAAATTTAATGTATAAAGATCAGAACTTTCATTCACCTATTTTGTCTCATTTTCCAATTTTAATCCTTTTAAATATCATTCTCTGGGGTCTGGGGATATAGCTTAGTGGCCAAACACCTGCCTGGCAAGC